TGCAGGCGATTGCAGTTGAGCGATTCGTGGCCCAACTGATGCTCAGAGGTGGGCCCAGTTTAGGTGATCTTGGCCTGTCTCGCACACCATAGCTTGCAACTTGCAGCACACTACAGTTAAGGAAATCTGTCCCGATTCAGCAAGCTTTGTTTTGTGCTTTTGATGTAATTTTAGCCCCAGTTATAATCCCAACTTGTGCCGTCAACATCATGCGTCACGAGACGCAGCATCCATGCGGATTGCTCGCAAAGCAGTGCAACGCCTTATGTTAGAGGATGACCCGCAGAAGTGAACACTGCAGAGCTACCTTTGAGATTTCCTTCACGTGACCCCTGGTCCACAGTAAATGGCATAACTTTACCACCCGCTTTGCCATATGAGGGCAAAGTTCGTCGCGTGACAGCCAGACGCATTTAATTATTATATAAAAAATGTGTTGTATGATTAAGTGGCGATGGGTTTGTTTTTTTGGGAGCAGTCATTGGTGGCTGAAACCCCGGAGTAGACCCAGCATTTTAGTCGTGCCGGCTCCTCGCTCTGAACTCGCGAGCCCCTCGGCCACCGCGACTGCGTTGTTATTCGTTTCATTCTCGAATTATGAATTTCAAAAAGTATATCACTTTGCAAGGAGATAAAAAAAATAAACCTCTCAGATGTCTCAATGCCTCCTCCTGTGCTTGCGCTGTGCGATGCGGGTGGACTGCGAGCGCCTCACCGAGCTGACGAGCAAACTCAAGGACATGGAGGCCAAGGTGAGCCCAGAGGAAGGTCATAACCACAAAACAGGTGGGGCTTGCTATGAAAGCCGGGCGGGAGTGGTGAAGCACTGCTAAGGCAGCTAGGGTTAGTGGATCATACGAACGTTGCACAACTCCCTCGTTTCCATGGGCGTCGAGGGAGGAGCCCGTACCACGGCTCGCCAAGAGAAGGCGGTAGGGCACAATTGTGGACTAATCTCCACCGGCCCCTTCTGCATGGATTAGAGCGTTTGCCCCCTCGCACGCGTTGGTTTTCACCGGGTCCTCCGGTTTTTCTCCCACTTGTTGTATGCGCACTCATTCATTGGCTGAAAACGTTCGTGTATAAAGGATCGCAGAGCTTGGGCAATTGCTGGTGCCTTTGCATTTACACTGGTATTTAAATTGGTAGATTGGAGAACACCTTAATGACCACGTCAGTACCTTCTTCTTCTTCCCGTCCAGCCTCTCTTCAGGAGGCTGCTAGATCAATAAACCTCAAGCAGCAGCATCAACATCATCCCATCTATTGCCAGTGTTGCTGTGCTCGTGGGGAGCGGTCGTGGTAGCGGTTCGCGCTCTGCGCTCACAAACCCGGCGACCCGAGTTCGAGCCCTGCTCACGGCCAATACAAGTGACGATTATATTATCTGAACCGGTGCTAGGCCCCCCCTGGGTCGACTCAGCCTCAAATGAGTTCCCGGTGTGCTGTGTAAACATCGCCACTGGGTAGAGAAATGTCGTGGTGTTGGCCACCCACCCCCTCGTGTGCCGTGCCGGCCTTCATACTTGCTCGCTAACAGCACTTGCCCTAACAGCCTGCTGAAGGCTATACGGGGAATCTTTGTCCTTGTGTCTCCTTCTCCCCTACGCCAGTCACCCCCTCCACGTCCTTTCGTTTCCTTCCTCTAGCACCGCCATGGCTGGCTGGTGGCATTCCCTCCGGACAATGCAGTGCGTTTCAATTCGGATTTACGCAGCGTTCCAACGCAACCCGCATCTCAATGACAATGTAAATAGTCTTGGACAATCTACTGCTGGACGAAGGCCCCGTGTCAGTCACGGGGGGGGGGGGGGGGGGGTTGCTCAACGTTTTGCTTAACAAGTAACGAAGCAGAGAGCTTCTTGACAAAACCCAGGGCCTCGTCTCGAGACAAAAAACTGAAGCAAGGCTCCAGGCTGATGGATGGCGCCCGTTACAGAGCAAATGCTGCGTCGTTCTGTTCGGACGCGGAAGTTTTGCAGCGAACACCCGGCACGCGTCGACTCAAATCTCGGGCGATGCATCTGTGCGAATTTATGTGCGTTTGTGCATTCGTGTATGTGTCTGTATGCACGTGTGTGTGTGTGTTTGATTGTTTTTGTATATGCGTGGTGCTCGTCAACGCCACTCCTATTAAGGCCTTAATAGGTGCTCGCTAACAGCATTTACCATAAGAGCCCGTCTGGTTATACCGGACGGGGGTGACTTTATCTGTGTGCGTGTGTATGTGTGTTTGGGTGTTTATGTATGTGTGTGTTTTTGGGTGTTTATGTGTGTGTGTGTTTGAGTGTTTATTGGTGCGTGTGTATGTGTTGGGGTGTTTATGTGCATGTGTTTGGGTGTTTATTGCGTGTGTATATGTGTTTAGGTGTTTGTGTGTGCGTGCGTGTGTATGTGTTTGGGTGTTTATGTGTGCGTGTGTATGTGTTTGGGTATTTATGTGTGCGTGTGAGGTTCTGGCCGGCCCTGAAATCCGTGCTCTCCACCAGCACTTGCCCCAACAGATTGTTAAAGGCTAGCCGGGGAATATTCGCCTTTGTATATGCAATTGAGTATTCAAGTTTGTGTGTACATTTTAATGAGAACAGAATGAATCGAAGCACTATTAAATGCTCATGACTGGCAATAGAAAACACTTCTAAAATGGTCCCATAATTTAACATCGTAAACTCGTTTTTACGGAACACAGGGCGTGTTGTTTTTTTGTTGTTGTTGGGTCAGACATCTGTGTGCACACGTGTTTGTGTGCTCGCGTGTGTGCGAGAGAGTGTGTGTGTGTGTTTATAGTAGGGGAGCGGTCGTTTGTGCACTCGCTCTACGAACCCGGCGACCCGAGTTCGATTCCCGCTCTCGGCCGACACCAGTGATGGTGATTTGAACCGGTCTTGGGCCTCCCCTAGGTCTGCTCAGCCTCAAATAAGTACCTGGTGCGGTGTGTAAACACCACCCGTTCGTGTGCCGCGTTTGCCATGATAGGAGCTCCCTAACAGCACTTGCCTCAACAATCTTTTCAGGCTATAGGGGGCAGGGATCAGTGTCTTGGTGTTTGTTGATATGCCTCGTGATATTAGTATCATATTTATTAGCCAAGGTCATGCCACTTCTGGGAGAAGACCACCCCAAGCCGCCACCATCTCTCACAAATCCTGCGGTGTGACAGTCCACCTCGCTCCTGCACACGAGCTGAGTTTATATTAGTAAAGAACACAAAATAATAACAACAACAACTATCATAAGGGTAATTATATTATAAGTACATACATGTGCATATGGTTTGCATAAATGACAGGCAATCGTTGCTTCCAAGAACGATTCAAAGCATATATCGTGAGCGTCAACATTTATTTGAATAAGAATTTGAGGATTTTCGCTCAAACGGCGTTTAAAATCCGCAGCGTCTCAAAGCAACCGCATCAGTTAAACCGAGGCATCTTTACAGGCCTCGTGTGCGCGTGTGTTCGTGCGTGTGATTTATGAAGTTGCTGCTTGAATGAACTTAGGCGTAACGTACAATAACAGATTGATTATACTACCCGCTAGCGAGCAGTGGAGTAAACACAGCCCGGCAGTGTGGCTTTCAAAAAGTCCTTTATTCACATTCACTGCCCCATTCATTACATTAGAGGTTTAATCGGTCACATTTGGCCGCCAAATGCTGAACCCATCATTGTCCCAAGTAAATAAAAAATAAAACGTAAGTCCACGTCAGTTCAGTCGGACAATGTGAATCCTTCAAATGGATTGAACAACATTTCTAGGTGACCGGGTGGTTCGAGCGTTAATCGGACACCGCTAAGATTCTGGGTTGGCCACCTGTGATTAGACCTTGTCCTCAAGTGTACGTGTGCACGTTTAACTTCTTTCGCACCGTACGTAGCCAACCGCGCTAATCGGAGGTGCGCATCAAGACGTCTCAGTCCGGTCTTCATCTTGTTGTGGGTGCGTTCGTTTATATGTGAGTGGAAGTCTACATTTTATTGACCAATTCGAAAGAACATTTGAACATTTTTGTTAAAATTAATTATTCTTCACTCTCTTAATAGTTGGGGGTTTTGTTGTTGTCGTTTTAATCCTCCAGAGGTGGCAGGAAAAGTGAAGAGTGCTTCGACATGGAATTTCAAAATAGGATGCGACAGGGAATCAATTTGAAAGCTACAATCAGGATGCGGAGGTTGTGATGGGTGGGACAACGTGTTCCAGGATGGGGGGGGGGGCAGGTCCCAGAGACCGGCGCTGCAGTGGCACCCGGAGGTTTTGCGGCGAAAGGGAAGACCTGAAGCCAGGCGGCGTTAACAATGAATCCTCAGAGGTTGGGTGTCGACTGTGTGACAGTTGCCGGATCAGGCAGGAGGAAGGAAGTGATGGCAATGTGTGATGATGGTACCCGACATCATTATTGGCCCGTGGGTGATATCTGGATGTTGATCGCTATATGCAAGCGGGTTCCCCCGTGGTCATTGCGAATAACGCCGATTCTTCTTCGGCCCTTGCCACGTGCATCAAATCTCGCGCGAAATGATCGATGCCGTCGTTGCATTTGTATACGCTGTGAGTAATGAGTACAGGGGTGCAGCGGTTTGCTTAGTGGTTAGTGCGCTGTGCGATCAGAGTTCAAATTTCCAGCCACGAGCGATTTCCAAAAGGGTCGTGGGTGTCATCAACCCACACTGATTGGCGTGGTGAGGTATGGTCCAACAAACCCTCGTGACTGACACGGTTGGTTCAAAGGCCTTCATCCAACAGTGGATTAACGAAAGGTCTCTATATATAATCAATATTACTTTGTATTATTATTGAACTGAAAGGCATACACTCTACTTGAACACAAACTTTAAGGCATCGCGGGGAAAGACGCTGAACCAAGTCAACCCCTGAGTGGCTTTTTATGATGATGCTAATAACAATAATTACCATTTTAAAAACAATATGAATCGCTTCAGCTCGCCAATAACCGCAGTGTAAATGAAAGAAAAAACATTCTTGCGAATTATGACAATTCTGGCAAATCGTCTAATTCGGGACGGGGGGTGGTGGGGTGGGGGCGGGGTGGGGGTAGTAGGGTGGGGGCGGTGGGGTGGGGGCGGGGTGGGGGTGGTGGGGGTGGGGTGGGGGTGGTGGGGTGGGGGTGGGGTGGGGGTGGTGGGGTGGGGGTGGTGGGGGCGGCGTGGGGGGTGGTAGGGTGGGGGTGGTGGGGTGGGGGGTAGTGGGGTTTGGGCGGGGTGGTGGGGTGGGGGTGGTGGGGTGGGGGTGGTGGGGTGGGGGTAGTGGGGGCGGGGTGGGGGTGTGGTGGGGTGGGGTGGGGGTGTGGTGGTGTGTGTGGGGGTGGGTATTGGCAGGGTGGGAGTTGAACCGTTCCACGTCTGTTGCGAGACCTCCCCCAGCGCACCGCAGAGACAGCGGCGGCTGCATCGCGCGTGCGGTGAGATGCGCGTCGTCGTTTTTTGCCACCGCCACGCGGTTTAGCGACAGCCACGCGAGTGAGGCAGCAGCAACAGCAGAAGCAGCGACGGCCACCCAGTCCGACTTGACCTGCGTCTGCGAATGTTCAGGCGTCGAATGGCCGCAGCCAACGGATTCCTCCAGCACAAATAAATTTTCTGATTCTGAACAGTTTACATCACCCGTCTCGTGTTCGCAATCCCTGACCACCCCACCCACGTAAGGGAGAGGATCACTGGTGTGGCGCTAGGAATGCAGGCAAAAGCTTAGGGCCCCAAGTAAACCAAGGGGTTCCCAGATGTATTTAACAAAAAACGAATAAATATCAGTTCGAACTCAGATCCTTGTGTCAATAAATGCATACAGAAATCTCATCATTCTAATGGCACACTTACAAATGTTTGTAATTAATCAATAGCCTTTGTTATTTCACACGTCGATATAATCGCCAAAAACCGCCGATGATGATATCAGCCACTACGCTGAGCATTCGTGTGTTGCGTGTCGTCATTTTAAGATGTTCTGTGTCCATGTTTTAGTTTGTTGCGGTTGCACCCGAGTCAAGAGCCACATGGCTCACGGGGCTCTACCTAATAAATAAACTTGAAACTTGAAACGCAAGTTAATATAAGTAGCGTTGTTTCCCGGCAGACTGTTTGTCACATGACGCACCCAAAAACGAATTTATGCTTAGGTCCGGCCCCCCAATGAGCTGGTACCACCATTGACTGAGCCCCCCCCCCCCCATCATCATCCACGCCCTGCTGAAGGTTTAGCGGCCCCCTTTCTAAACTCTCGAAATATTTATCAGCAGTGGCGGCCTCCTGTACAGCACAGGGCACGAGAGCCGAATACAGGATGGACAACAGCGGGTTGCATCTTGGCTGCCGCCATAAAACGTCCACGTGATGATGACATCAGCAACCTCACTATGGGAACCTCATTTGCCAGTAAAAATATGATAATTGTTTTTTTTTACCCTTCTATCTGGCAACAAAACTGACACCTTTTTTGACAAGGAGTCATGTTTGCATAGACCGCAATACCTGCATCAGAGTTATGTCTTTTGTTTGTATTATGACTGTAGGTATTGCGGTCTATGCAAACATGACTCCTTGTAAAAAGGTGTCAGTTTTGTTGCCAGGTAGAAGGGTAAAAAAACAATTATCATATTTTTACTGGCAAATGAGGTTCCCATAGTGTAGATGCTTGCCCCGAGCTCTCATACTCTGATGGTGCATTGTCTTTGAGTTGTGCGCCTTTTGGCGTCATCTGGTCCAACCCATGTGAGACTAGGCTCTAAGGAAAGCTGTCTCGGGTGTGGACCAATCAACTTCAAGGACAGTGCACATTATCAGAGTTATGTTCTTTTGTTTGCATTATGACTGCAGGTATTGCGGTCTATGCAAACATGACTCCTTGTAAAAAGGTGTCAGTTTTGTTGCCAGATAGAAGGGTAAAAAAACTATTATCAGCAACCTCGTTGAGCATTCGTTTGTGATAGCCAGTTTGCTTGTTTTAAAAGAGCTACATTACTCGGTGGGCTTTACCTGGTTAAAATAAAATTAAAAAAAATGGTTTAGTTGAGCATCGTCACTCATTCTGTTCAGCGTTCAACGTTTGTTTTATTTTGTTTTATTTTATTTCTAACTACGTGACTTTACCGAACGAACCAAAGAGTACGTTTAACGTTTGTTTAAAGTTTACTTAACATTGACCGCGTCGTGCCCTCACAGAGTTATGCCCCCCTACCCCTCCCCTCCTTTTTAAACAAAGGTCACGCTAATGGCTCACGCTGAGCCAACGGTGGAAATTCCACATTGGCAGGGGCGAGCCTTTTCATTTCACAGCCGCTATTGACATCCCCCCACCCCCAAATTGATATTTGTTTGATAGAACATTTGTTATCGAACTCCCAAACTCGTACTCTTAGGTTTTTTTTCGGTAAAGTCACGTAGGTAAAAAATAAATAATAAAAATAAATAATTTAAAAATACGTGACTTTACCGAAAAAACCTAAGAGTATGAATCCTTGCAGTCACGAAAGCTTCAAATCTAGAATCCCAAACTCGTGATTGTGAGCCTTTACTCTAACCCAGGGGTCTGCAACCTGCGGCTATGGATCCGCATGGGGCTCGTTAAGGACTGCCTCGTGACCGGTATTTATTGAGGATATCACCGTCTCTCGTATTCACCACACAGTGCACTGCGGCTCTTGAAATATTGGGGGGGGGGGGGGGGTTACCGAATTCGAACAGAAATGGTTCTTCTTCTTGTTTCTGTTCACGACCCCTGCTCCAGGCACTGCTTGATTTGACTAAGCCGATATCTTCTCTCCTACTGGAGATAGTCTCCACTCTAAGACCAGCACAGGAATCTACATATCGTGGGTTCTCTTTTAAACACATTCCTGCAGAGGGAGCTGCTAGGAACGTTGGGTTGCTCGGTCAATGGCCAGAGTCAACGGCGGCGTGGTGTATTCCGCAAATATGGCCGACTGTGAGGGCGGGCACAAGCCGGCGTGAGTAGGTTAAACGTTGAGTTTTATAAGGGCACCACGGGGTAACCAGCCCATCCCCACCCAGCCCCACCCCTCCCACCCCCCACCCAGCCCCTCCCCACCCTCCCCACCCAGCCCCTCCCCATCCTCCCCTCTCCACCCAGCCCCACCCTTCCCATTTTTGGATGCACGACGGACGGACGGACACAATAATCCCCTGTGGGCTGGTGGAACCAGGAGGTTCCTACCAGAAACAAACGCTTTTGGATGTCGTGCCACGTGTGTCAAAGAGGGAGGAATTGTTTTGACAATTACGAGGAGAGAAGCTGCTATTGCTCTGCAACGGGGAATTAAGAGACAGCCGTCATGTTCACGACGCTTTTTTCATAATCCTCCCGTGCTCACAGGAACCTGATTTTTTTTTTACGTTATAGTAAAATGCCAAGATAATATTCGTTGTGATGGGGGTTTTTTTTGTCTATGTTCACTAGGCTTTAGAGAATATTTTGGCAAAAGGAAGTGCTTTGATTGGAGCACACATTTGGAGAATGAGAGCGATTTTAAATGAGCCATAGTCAGTCTTCTGTATGCGTTACTTTCACCGCTTCGATGTCGCTATTTATTTTATTATTTACGTCTTCTGAACTTCTTCTTTCACCCTTTCAATCCAACACAATGTCTTGGTGGTGTCATCACGGGTAGCCGAACTCGGAATCGAACCCAGGACCTCAGCTGCACAGGCCTCGGTGCTCAGACCTCGAATCCCTTGAGCCACTCCAGCCACCTCTAAAAATCATTTTTAAAAAATATGTTCACACAGCTCTCTCACGGACCCCCTAAGTCAACCTGGCACCATCGCTATTTCTCATCACCTGTGTAATTGTAAACCCAGTGTATGCAACGCTAGGGTTGAGTGGGTCCTGTGAATGCGCACGCGCTTTGCTCGCGAGGTTGGCTCCGTCGGCTCACGTCGCCGTGTCCGCCCCCCCCCCCCAACTCTCCCTCCGCCAGGTGCGCCTGATGGAGTCGGGGGACAGGGCGGCAGGGGACTCGAGCAATGAGCTCCCGGCCGAAGCCGCGGGTCAAGGGGCCCACGGGCCTGAGGTCACGGCAGAGGTCGCGTTCGGGTCCCTCCTCCCGCAAGGGCCCATGGGCCTGCCTGGCCCTCAAGGTCAGAAGCGCCAGCGTATGCGCGCGGCACGTGCGTTTGTGATGCGTGGTACCGTGTGACGGCGGTGCAGTGGGTTACCGTGCTGTGCCATGGAGTGTGCCGACTGACTTCGATTCCTGACCACGGCTGACATCAATGGCGAGTGACAACTGAACCGGCCCTGGCCGTCAAGCAACTCGCTAGCAGCACTTGCCCCAAACAGTCTGTATGGAATAATAATAGGGGGTTTCCCCTTTTTTCTGGCAACAAAACTGAAACCTTTTTACAAGGATTCATGTCTGCATTAACCACAATACTTGCAGTCAAAATGCAAACAAAAACATACTATGATAATATATGCATTGTCCTTGAAACTGGGGAAAAAGGGGACAAAACCCTATTATTATATTTTGGTACTGGCAAAGGAGGTCTAATGATGTAGTTTGTATGGATATGTATATCGGGGATCTTTGTCTCTGCGTCCATATAGCAGTGGTGCGGCAGATAGAACACTGTGCTACGAACAATGCCACCTGGTCAGATTCAGTTTTGTATGTTCTGCCCCAAAATTAACAATTGCCGAACTATGAACAAAGGTGTTAACTAATGTAAGACACGTGGTACATGCGTTCATTGATCCGTGGCGTGTCTTCGCGCGCGCACCCACAGGGCTCCAAGGGGAGAGGGGACCGGCCGGACAGCCCGGGAAGCAAGGTGAGAAAAGTTAAATCCATCAAACGTTCATTTTCGATGAAATAATATCATCGGTTATTTTCATATTCGTTATATGTAATTGGTTCGTGTGCGAGCCCTTAAACCACTAGGGGCCGCTACATTCACTATTGCAGTGCCGACCTGCCCCGCCAGTCTGGGACTCCCATTCGTGTTGTTGACTCCCTCCACCCCTGTTCAAGTCCAGGCTCGAGGCCTACGTTTCCCTCTGTCGATGACTGTCTCTCTATCTTTCTGTGTAATAAATAATAAAGTATAAACAAGGCCACTGTTTTTGTGCAGTATCCTGAGCGGCGGTCACATGTGACCAATATATAGCTTCAAGCTTGGATTGTTTGTTGATTAAGTTGATTCAATGAGGTAAAATGGTCGTTAACTGAATTTTGTATGGTCCCATATTGTAAATAGAGGAGGGTCCTTTGCCTGTAAGATCGGCCAGTTCACCCGCATTGATTCAAGCGAGCCTGACTCTGCTGATGATGAGACACTGACTGTCACAACCGGCCCAGAGTTTGCCCGGATTGAACCAATGCTGCTGAAATAAATATGCACTCCCAAGAAGACCGTGTGCGACTGATGGTTTGTAAAAAAAAAATACACTGTTTTGTTTTTCTTCACGCGGAGCGATGCCATATGTGAAGGGGGCGTATTTGTCCGCTGATTTATTCCGCTTTGTTTGTCGGTGATTCATCGGATCCCTTTCAACAAAAGCGGTGGCCGCTCGCCACCTCCTCGCCTCTGGAAGGCAGGAAACCCCCGATGGTGCCACGGTCAGCTGATGATGCCGATGATGTCACCAAGCCCCGGCCACCATGGGAACAGATTTTTTCCCCAACTATTCTCGTGGTCATCCGATTTAATACAATTAGAGTACTCCATTACTCAAATAATCGGATGGCTCAGCTATGTTATCCTACGGTCCAGTATAAGCTGACAAATATTGGACATGGGATGGGATCGACAATAATTTGGGCGTTATCCGTTGGAGGTCGTGGTTAGTGCTGGCAGTGATGGTGGGCAGAGTTGCAGGGTGGGTAGATAGGGTGGTTGAGTGGGAGAGTGAGTGGTGGGGGAAGTGCATAGCCCACCAGACAGAGAGCAGTAAAACTCTCCGAACAATCCAGGAGTCGAGAACGGGTAGGGGAGAAGGGGAAAAAGTAATGTTGTAAAGCCGCCAGACATAGGCAAGTGGACCGAACCGAATTTCATTGCTCGGTGTCTCGTGGCTGCCAGTTGCTGTAGTAAATCATCATCATCATTAGCGGAGGAATTCGTCCGTCCCGTTGGAATCGCCGTTGAACGCACGCGCCTTGTCTGCCTGTCTCTTAGCAGGGCCTCCCATGCATGCCGCATTGAAGATTAACACGTGATTTACTTTCACGAATTAATTTAGAAATTGCCTACACGTTGGGGGTTTCCTGGGTAAATTATTGGCCCGATTGTGGCTATCAGCATTATTAGAAGGAGACTTGCTGAGGGGGGGGGGGGAGGGAAAGAGTGCGAAGGGGGCCGGGGTTGTGGGGGGAGGCGATGGCTGGCAGCACTGAACTGTGAACCACAGTGATCCGAGTTTGATTCTATGCCATGGCTAACGACAGCGAGCCAAATGTTTGCCACTGCTTTTGTGTGTGTGTGTTGAGTTTAGCGCGGTTGGCTACGTAAGGGACGAAAGAAGTTCAACACACACACGTGATGCCTGAATTGGCTCCGACCATCACCTCCCCTCCACAACCCCCCCACCCACAGCCCTTCGACCTATCCACGCAAACAGCCCCCGCCACTATCAACACGATTCCTTGTCTCCCCGTGTCACACCAACCTAATCCTGACCCTGGCTTTCAGGCCCTGTTGGACCGGCTGGACAACCGGGACCCCCAGGAATTCCCGGGAGACCTGGCACCGAAGGGACCCGTGGAAAAGCAGGACCCATGGGACCCACAGGCCAGTGTGTGGTCGTCCGTGCGTGCGCGTGCGCGCGTGTTTGTGTCTTGCTGTCTGTGTGGATGCTTACGTAACCCTGCGAAGCGTTTTTCTGGTGTTGATCACGCGCCCCCCGCTCGGCGCGATTCCGCACGCTGGAACTGAATCCGCTGCACGCGCTGGAGGCGGAGCGCAAACGTCGGACATCGCGCCGAACAGCGGTACAATGCCGCAAACTGCACGCCACAGTCGTCCACACGTTTGAGTGTTTAAGTTTTTGGCAGCCAGTTTGGTTGTTTGGATATTTGTTTGGCTGAGTGGATGCCTGTGTTTATGTTTGTTTGTGAGGCTGTTTTTGTTGACGTTTCTAAGCTTTTGTTTGGGTTTTGCTGTGCGAATGGTTTATTTTCGCAGCAGTTTATGTAATTCCTTGGGTCGCTGGGAAGCTTTTTAAAGGTCTGGTTTACGTTTTCGTTTTGATCATTGTTTGAATATTTGTGGCCGTTATAAATTATCCCTATTGGTCTCTCAACACCTGGAATAACACGATAACTAATCCTCTTGCTGCTGACAAGGATGATGATGATGTTACTCACTCGGTCAGATAGTAGTCCCAGAAAAGTTATTTATATTATACCAGTCTATAAAAGTGAAATATGGGCACATAAAATATACACCAAATGTCTTCATATAGGCCACATTCTTTTAGGACGTTTAACCTTGGACAAATTTTTTTTCACATAATTAAAATGTGAACCCCAACATTTACCCTGACGGAGACAAACTCAAAAGGTGAACTTTGTGGACGATGGAGTGTGGTCCTCAGCCAATGGTGGACATTCCACGTTCTCGTGGCTCTGGCCATTCCAGACATTCGACAACCAAATATTGACTTCCCACAATTTGAAAACTCACCTGTGAACGCATCGTGCGCATTCCGGGACTAAGCTACGCACACTTGACACGCACAACAGCAGCCGCTGATCGCCACTCAGTGGCGGTGACATCACCACCGTGGTGCTTGCGCCAGCCTCGGTACACTTTTAGACTATCACGTGAAGTGTCGAAGGCTGTCTGGCGGAAAGTCGTGGGACGGACCCGCATGTGTCAAGGGGTGAACATGTAATTACACTTACACACAAACACACGTGTATACCGCTCAGTATATAACATACGAACGTCTGCATAAACACAGCACACACAGAGAGACACGTGCGAGTTTGCACGCGCCCGCCCACACACATGCGTACACACATTTAGCGGTGCCAGGGCCAGTTCTGTTTCCATTTAAGTGTTTGGACTGGACGGGACCTAAGGGAAGAGAGAAAGAGTCGAGAGGGAAAGAGAAGAACACACAGAGACAAAGCTCCTCCGTATAACCTTAACAGACTGGTGGGGCAAGTGCTGTTAGCGAGCACCTATGAAGGCAGACAAGGCGAACGGAGAATTCGCCCTCGCGATCGATGTATCTTATTATATAAATACAATCAGCCACGCCATTTGTGGCCATGTGACATCGCCCAATGGCTTGTGATGACAAGACACCAGCCGAGTGTTTATGAAGGGCGCCTTCTGTTTAGAAACTGGACTTTACGAGGTGGCTGGGATGGCTGCGAATATTGAGCAGCACCGAGCCATTTTTTTGTTTTAAAGGAGGCGAAATGATTTACCAAGGGGCAACAGCTCACAGTAAAACTTTCCACAGTAACAGCAGTAGCAGCAGTAGCAGAGAGACTCACAACCTCCTCGATATATGTGTAGAGCCAGTGATTCGGAGACAAGGGTTTCCAGGAGGCACCTTCTTTATTTAACAAGTCCACACCTCACAGGTTCGTCCTCGCACTCTCCATAGTTGCCTAGCCTGACCACAACCCTCATCGTCTAACACCGATGGCGCTGACCGAGACGGCCAACAACTATCTGTCCCGATTTAAAGATTTCGTGACTGCAGGGATTCATCTTCTTGGTTCTTCCGGTAAAGTCACGTAGAAGGGAAATTATAAAAATAAATCATAATAAAATAAAATTCTCACGACGTTTCGGCTGCAACGGCTGCTTGCGTTGTGGCTGAAATGTCGTGCTAATTTTATTTTATTATGTTTTATTGTTATTATTTTATTATTTCCCTTCTACGTGACTTTACTGAAAGAACCAAGAAGAACTATCTGTCCGCGCAACATCCAGCGAAGACAGCAGCGACGACGAGACGAGTCCACTCCAAGAACCGGCAGCCCTGAGCTCCCTCTCTCGGCTCCTTTTATGCCACCCAGCGCGGCCTGGCTCCGCCCTGACCGCGCCTCCTTTCTCGAGCCCACCAGCAGGTTCCAGGGGCCTCCAGACGGGGTCCTCCGTGACCCATGCCCCAGTTCCTCCGCTCTGCCAACACACCGCGCACGCCCTCACCGGCGTGTGCGCTCTCCGTCCGCCACAGTTGCCGCTGCTGTCCACTAGCCGGCGCTGTCACACTACATACATATTCCAAGGGCCAGCACCGCCACTGCCACTCATTGTTGCTCTCCGCACTCCTGCCCCCTGTCTGCACCACAACCTCCTCGTCTTCTCTACACCAAGGGCCGGGTCCATGGTCACTGACGGGCGTCGTTTCTCCGTGGCAAGCCCGGCCGTCTGGGACGCGGACATCATCACCCTCTCCCCGCTGCTGCTGCTGCTGAACATTCTCAGCAGCAGCAGTAGCAGCAGCAGTCAATCCTTGAGACATTAGTGGAAGGCACCTTACAAATAATTATTGATAGACTTTGCCTCAAAGTTCCCACCACTGCCCCCGGGATTTCGAGCGACGCCAACTACATTATGCGCGTCACAAATAGCCGTACAATGATTTCATTTCCACAAGCTTTCTCCAACACATAGAGACGACGCTATTGTTGTCTTGGGACCCTCCCCACCACACTGCTGATGAAGCCTCTGTTGCCTGGCCCGGCAAGACGAGGGCATACGATGGTGGAGTAAGGAATGACTCTTCGTAATCCCCGTGTCTCACCCACCACCCTCTCTGTGTCTCGGTGTCACCACCCTCTTTGTGTCTCGGTGTCTCCACCCTCTCGGTGTCTTAGTGTCTCCACCCTCTCGGTGTCTCTACTTGGCTGTGATTTGTCATCTCCGACTCAATTCCAAAATGCTTGCGTCTCACTTATCTCTCTCTCCTCGTCCCCCGCACCTCCGATTAGCGCGATTGGCTACGTACGGTGCGAAAGAAGTTCAACATACAGTACATTACATCTACCACTCTCTCCACCTCCGTGTCTCTCCTGTCTTCTTCTGCGTCGTCTCCCTCTCTCTACACACTGGGTCTCTTGATCAAAAAGTTCCTAGATGAAGAGTCTTGACCCCTCCGACGTGAATCGCAATCCTCGCCATGAACAGCGCAGATCCGAGACGGGCACTAAAGTGGTCGGCACTTATTACTCTGCAAAAAAAAACAACAACAGGCAAATTATAATCGGGTGGGACGATAGAGGTGGGGTGATGAGTTACAGAGTTTAGTTGAATGTGCTTCCCGCACCTTTCTCGCTCCGTCGAGCCCCACGTCAGAGAAACTTGTGTCTGTCTTTGTTTGGCTGTCTGTTAATCCATACGTCTGTCTGTCTGTCTCGTCTCTGTCTGCTCTGTCCATGTACTGTGATGTTTATTGGTCCACCTGTCTATCACTGTGTCTGCCTGCCTGCTCACCTGTCTGCCTGTCTGTCTGTGTATCCGTATTATGTCCATCTGTCTGTCTATTTGTCTATCTGCATGTCCATCCGTTCGTCTGTCCATCTATAATTGTGCCTGTATGCACGTCTGCCTGTCCATCCGTCTGTCTGTCTGTCTGTCTGCCTGTACGTTTGTATGTCCACCTGTGTGTCCATCCACCTGTCTGTATCTGCTACCTGCCGTTTCTGTGTCCGCCTGTGCCCTGTACCTCACTCCGTGCAATATTCGCCGTGACGACCACGCGGTCTGGGTGCGGTTTTCAGAGTGGGTCACGGCTCAACGACGCCCAATAACCCCGAGCTCCCACCACCACCACCACCCACACATCACAGGGGTAGGGATGGAGGCGAGACGGCTAAGACGGTGAGAGAGAGAGAGAGCGATGGGGGAAGCGAGATAGGAAAAATAAACAGGGATTTAACGTAATCCGCCCTCCTTACTTTTGCGTAATTTTCCACTCTTTAAAAACACACGCGTCTCGGTGTCTGCGCTACTTTCCCCTCAACAGCCCGTTCTTAGGCTACACGGGGGGTATTGTCTCGTGTTGTGTACGTTGGCTCTGCCAAAGTCATCGCAAGTCAGTCAACCCATAACACCTGGGTCTGGTTCCGTTGACCATCTTGCCAGCGAGCCTTCGACACTTCGCGTGGCCCCAAAGTGCACCTAGCCTGGCACAAGCGCCGTGGTAACGTCAATGCCACTTAGACCACATCGCGTGTAGTTTTTAATTAACACTGTTTGGGTAAGTGCTGTTAGCGAGCACCTATTTGACAGATCTGCCAGCATCACGCCTGCCCGCCCGCATTTTGTCTCCCCCGTAGCGATGTTTACACCCCGTACCAGCCACTCATTTGAGGCCGAGTCGACCTCGGGGAGGCCCAGGACCGGTTCAGATAATCGTCACAGCCGGTGTTGGTGGCCGTGTGCGGGAATCGAACTCGGGTCGCCGGGTTCGTAGCGCAGCGCCGCGCTTTAACCGCTGATACGCACGCGCGCGCGCGCAAATGTAGACGTCCGTGTGCTAACACGGTAGGGGGAAATGGCCCATTATACAAAGTAAACATAATTGGGCATAAGTGGCCCTAAGAATGGCGTAATTAACAGGGACGACATTAAGTCTAGCTGTCGTGGGGTGCAGAGTCGGGGCTTTAGAAGCTTTTATTGACTTTGCTTATTCTCGGGAGAGGACCATTATGCCGGGATTCAATTACCACACCTGGCGTGCAACAGCCACCACGACGCTGCTGCTGCTGCTGTTGTTTTAACAACAACAATCATTCACAGCATGCACAAGAGCGGTTTGACGCCGCCATGGGAATGTGGAATTTCCACGACTGCTTCGCGAGCGTTCCCGGGGCAGTGCTTTTGCCCCGCCAGCCGATCCGACGAAACTTTCGGTTTGCACGTTCGAGCGACCGTTCATTTATTATTTCAGCATTTTTATTTATTTTTATTTCTGTCCCACGATGAATCCAAACTGCAATATTTACCGTGTCATGATTTAGCAAGCCGGGCTTGGTATGTACGTTTGTTGAAATTCTTTCGCACCGTACGTAGGCAACCGTGCTCGTCGCAGGTGCCGGGGTAAGGACAACAAACTAAAGACAGTCAGTAGTTCTGAAGAAGTAAGTTTTCGATCTCGATGATTTCAAAGGGCGTAGCTCCTGCGGCTTCCCAATACACTGGTCAACAACAAAAAAAAGTTTTTTTTTTCTGGCCTGGACTTTTGCAGCTGTTTTAGACTAATTTCAGGGTGCTGATTCCAAATCTGATCTCAGATTTGCTCTATCACATATCATTTTATGCTATCGGCATACCCCATTTTCATCGATTTTACCCGAAATTAATTGCAAGTTGTTGCGAGTCAGTGACTGCTTTAGTGTTAAAATATGGTGTTGTATTTTTAGGATAGTGTGTTTATAATATAATTTATGTAGATATCCACATTTATTTAATATTTTTCTTCTGCAGTTTTTATTGAAAATGCAATATTTGATATCTCAAAAACCTTGAATGTGATAGACAAAAACTGATGCCAGATTTGGAATCAGCACCCCAAAATTACCTTAAAACCGTTGCAATACCTTATGCCAGAAAAAGTGTGTTGACCAGTGATATCGGAGGGGAAGCGCGTTGCTGACGGGCCGCTGAAACGCATCTGGAAGCGCGCGATGCGGTGACCACCGCCTTGGTTTTCTAATTGTTGGCCACAAGCTGCTGCGACGATGCAGCGCAGTTCGCGTGGTTGATGGTTTCTGTTCCTTGACTTGATTTCCAGAGGGCGCGGTTTCTATTCGATTTCCCGGCGCGGCAGTCGAAACAATGATGCGACGTTTTTTATATCACCCCCCAGACCCCTCGCCGCCTTCCGCCTCGGTTAAGTCGATCGGTCAGGTCACGTGTGGTGGGATAAAGTGTGGGTGCTTGGTAGAGTGCGGGTACTTGCCACCCAAAAATACCCACCAACTAGAACTCCCTTCTAGTTGGTGGCCCATCCGCCAGCAGTGGCATGAGCAAGACATTTCAGGGCTGCCCCTTTACCTCGTCTCTACCTGTACGTGTGCCTGCTGCTTACGCTTGGGCCAATGTCTCCGAGTGTGTGGGAAGAGGCAATAGAAAGGGTCCGGAGAACGACCGACGGATTTTTTTTTCTTTTTTTTAAAGAGAGGTTGTGTTTTGAGAGTGGACCTCCGTGTGTGTGCGGTTTTTTTCACGTCCAATCATTTGTTTATTTAATGTAAGCAATGCGTGTAATTAGGCAAATTGCGTGTTTATAGTGAACAATGGCGGTCAAGTGCGGTCACAGGATATTGCAAATGAGGTAGCAAAACGCCAGCACGTTACAGGTCACGAATGTTTAATCAAGGCTCTGTGCATGGCTGAGTGTGTGTGTGTGTGGGTCGCAACGAGGTCGACTCAGACCCAAATGTGTACCTCGTGCCGATGTGTAAACATCGCCACTGGAGAGACAAAGGCGGCCGGACGTGGTGCTGGCCACCCACCCCCTCGTCTTGCCGTGTCGGCCTTCATAGGTGCTCGCTAACAGCACTTGCCCAAAAGTCTGTTATGGCTATAGGGGGATATTTGTCTTTGTGCTTTAGAGTGGCCACTGCTATAAGCCGGATATGTTGGCTCACTGCCAAAATGCCTGAACCGGTCCCGGGCCTCCCCTAGATCGACTCAGCCTTAAATGGGTACCTGGTGCGGTGTGTAAACATCGTTACTCTGGGTGACAAATGTAGCCGGGCATCTGTGCAAGTGTGCCGGTCTGTGTACGTGTGTTTCTGCGCGAGAGTGTGTGTGTGTGTGGATTTTGGGTAAACGTTGATAGTAAGTGTCCTTTTGCCTTGCCGGGTCGTTATTGGCTGTTTAGGCAGCTGGAATCGAGGGCTAATTTAAATGTCAAACACCCACACACATAAATCCGCGTCCAAAGGCAAAGATCCCCCATATAGCCTTAGTAGACTGTTGGGGCAAGTGCTGTTAGCGAGCACCTATGAAAGCCGGAACGGCACACGAGGGGGTGGGTGGCCAGCACCACGCCCGGCCGCCTTTGTCTCCCCAGTGGCGATGTTTACACACCGCACCATGTACTCATTTGAGGCCGAGTCGATCTGCGTGTGGTCCAGAAACGGTTCGGATAATCGTCACTGGTGTTGGTGGCCGTGAGCGGGAATGGAACTTGGGTGGCCGGGTTCGCAGCGCAGTGCGCTAACCGCTACCCCCCCCCTCCCCACACACAGGCAAAGATCCCCCGTATAGCCTTAATAGACTGTTGGGGCAAGTGCTCTTAGCGAGCACCTATGAAGGCCGGAACGACACACGAGGGCGTGGGTGGGTGGCGAAGACCGACACACATACATATAACACACCCTCGCTCGCACATGCACACGCCCGTACACACACGCTCATAAACACATGGTCGCACATCTGCGCACAGATGGCTGACCCAACAACAAATAAAACAAAAACATACGTACTCTGTGTTCCGTAGATCGAGTTCTCGATGTTAATTATGGCACGATTTTACAAGAGTTTTTATTCCGTCACGGGTCGGAATGCGACGAATCATCGATTCATCATCGATTTCAAAAGACGCACAAAAACCTTATCTCATTCCTACGCTCACGACACGTGCATCGATCGATTGTTTAACAAGTAGGCAAAGGCGCTGCCCTGCAGCTGCTTGCTCATGTCCCTGCTACCAGAAGGGCCTTCAACTTCTCTGGAGCCCATAGAGATGCCCTCTCCGAAGGGTACTTGGCCTACTCTTCCCAGCACGCTGGCCCGGGCGTCTTGGAGTCTGTGGGAGTTACCCACATGGACTAACTGCGGGGTGACCCTTCGTACTTCTGGGGTGGACAGAGTCGGGGTGGAGGGGCCGGAGTGGTGGTGGTGGGGGGGGGGAAGGGATAACTGCCGCGCCGGGAAATCGAAATGCAAGTCCCGTGTGCTAGCCATGGCACCACGGCAGCGTCCCTGTTCACGAGTAATGCAAATCAAATGCTGATATTCTCAACACGTAAGTTATAATTTTATTACATTTCCATCGTTTTTTTTTGTATCTCTCTGTGTTCACTGCGTTTTCTTCTATGAACCCGCCACGTTTTCGTTTCACCCCCTCCCCCACCACCATATCTCTCGTGCAGATGAGACATATTGTCCCAGTCGACTCAGCTTTTATATATATATTTTATAATTATGGAATGAAGGACCCCGCTGCGTGATGGTTTAGCCACACTGGATGTTGCAATCCTCGAGGATCGCCCGTTCCCATTCGATTCCCCGGGGCGGCAGTTTGAAAACACCGGGCGAGTTTATGCCGCCTCTGACCACCCAGCGGTTACAAACGAGTAGAGCGACGAGTCCCGCCGGTCCACAAGAGATGGCACGTGGTGGGGTCACGTGTGGGGGGTGCACCCACCTCTTTTAACAACGTCTGGTCAATGTGGAAGAGTAGAGCAATTACCCTTGAGGGTTCGTCCCCTAGTTGTCGGGGTGGGCGGGGGGGGAGGCTTCTACCAGCAGTGGAATGAACAAGCAATTGCAGGGCTGCCCCTTTATCGTTTTATCCTCCTCAGCCCGTACCCGTGAGTTGCCACTGACAATGGTCGAGGCGCGCGTCTGATGTGTCTTGCGTCACCTCTGGCAGTTATTGGAGATTTAAGCACGAAAATAAATGTATAGACGGAGCGGACAACATTGCCCTTCTGGGACACCGCTCGCCGCGCTCGCTGTAACTTACTGACAGTGTGTCCATCTCGTTCTGCTGTTGCATTGCAGGCCGGCCCGGCGTGGCGGGGCGAACCGGCCCCACCGGTGGGCTGGGTCCTATGGGACCGCCTGGAGGAATAGGGGTCCCCGGCCCCCCCGGACTCCCGGGGTCCCCCGGACCTCCTGGCCCCCCTAGTCCCACGTCGAGCAACCAGAACGTGGCTCTGGCCCGAGGAGAGAGTAAGTGATCGCGGGAGACGCGGTCAATCGTTGCGTTCGATATTCACGATTTCAACAAATTCATAAAAAACTACAAAATCCGTCGAATAGATCACGCAGCTCATTGATCAACGTCACGTGACTGTTCGGCAGGGAGCCGCCTCCCCCACGTGCACGCTGACGTGGTACGAGCGGGGGATGTGGGGCCCATCGGCACCCCCGGACCCATCGGACCCCCAGGTACATCACCTGTCACCACTATCAGCATCATCATCATCATCAGTCCATCACTGCTATCATCTTCTTCATCATCATCATCCTTACCGCACCACTGTTTTCAACACCGGTACCACCACCGTCATCATCGTTGTCGTCATCTGATGATTGTGATTATTCTTTGGGTCTTTCGGTAAAGCCATGTAGATGGAAAAATAAATAAATACAATTTTATTTTGACATACAAATATGACATTTTTTATTTATTTTCTATCTACGTGGCTTTACCGAAAGACCCAAAGAATATAAATTCCTGCAGTCGCGAAAGCTTTAAGTCAAGATTACATTGTGATTCTTATCTCCCCCCCTCCCCACTTTGCCTCTGTGTGCACAGGAGATCCCGGTCCCCAGGGCCCTCGTGGTTTCCCAGGGAGGGATGTGAGTGACCTTGACCCCTTCTCTCGGGGTTAGGGGGTGGGCGGGGGAGGGAGGGGCGCGGGGGGCGGGAGCACCGGGGAGGGGGGCGGTAATCATCGACTGTACGCCTCGAATGACTTCACCAGAACCCTCAAATATCATTTTTTTAAAATCGTACGTTAAATTACTCAAATTGGGTTTGCCCGCAATAATAATGTCTGTTCTTCTACAAAGCGGTAGTTGCGTTCCTGAAGAACGCCGCGTTATGGGGAAAAAACGCCTTTTAAAATATAGAATAAAGAGTAAATCACAGTCCACGATAGCACGCGAGATGCGTACGCAGGTTGAACAAAAACTGAGGCATGTGGGTAGCATCTAGAAGCATCCAGCAGCATCCCGTCTTGTGCGCTGCTACGCCGAGGCAGCCGTACGACTACTCGCGCGATGCGGTTCCATTCACTCAATCGCGTTACATCCAATTCGCGTCTGTTATGAACAAAAAAGTGTTCCCTGATATTCTTAGGTTTTTTCTGTAAAGTCACGTAGGTAAAAAATTAAAATTAATAAAAGTACAATAGAAGCTTGTGTTGCCTCCGAAACGTCGTGATTTTTATTTTATTTTTATGTTACTTTTATTAATTTTAATTTTTTACTTACGTGACTTTACCGAAAAAAAACCTAAGAATACGAATCCTTGCAGTCACGAAAGCTTCAAATCTAGAATTGTTCTCTGATATATTCTTCGCGTGAAATCCAATTCGCGTTATGACTGTTTCATCATTTTATATAGCCTCATTCATGCCAGCGGCATCCCACAACGCTGTACGTTAATTATGCACAAGGATCAAATCTCATATACGCAGATGTCTACGCCCATAGTAGCAGCAGCAGCAGCATCGCCGCCTGCTGTGAAGGTTCGGCAGGACCCTCCAGAAAGAGAGTCGGTGATTCTCAGCAAGGGCTCTCCCTGGTGACCGAGCGTTTATCGCGCCCGCGAGAATAACGACCGCGCGTGCTGGTTCTTTCGCCTCTGTCAGGGTCTCCCAGGGCCGGAGGGGAGACCTGGGCTTCTGGGACCTAGGGGAGAGAAAGGCGAGCTGGTGTGTAGTAGTCGTTGTAGTAGCCGTGACACACGGTCACCCTAACACAATCGTCCGTGACACCGATTTCCCCCAAAGATGATAAAAAAATATTTACTATGCTCGGGAACATTTCGGGCAATGGCCCTTTTATCTACGGGGACGCTTTTGCCAGTGCCGTATCACAGTGGTGAAGAATCGATGAAGAGGCTTGAACCTTTCTTGCAATAAAACAGGTTTTAAAATGTTCGAACGCCAAATTGATATCCCTGTTACGAGGCATCAAGTCTGCATCGACCACACGCACTTGTGGCGCAAAAAAAAAGAAATGAATCAAACATGCTCTGAAAGATAAACGCGTTGTCTTCGAAACTGATTGGCCTACACCAGAGACAGCCGTCTTTAAGCCCTTGTCTCACCCGTGTCAGAACAGAGAACGCCAAAAAGGATGCCTTGCAATAGCTATCTAGTTGGTGGTTGAACGTTTCAACACCTCCCGTTGTAAAATTTCGATTTAAAGCTTTCGTGACTGCAGGGATTCATATTCTTGGTTCTTACGGTAAAGTCACGTAGAAGGGAAATAAAAAAATAAACAATAATGTATTATTATTTATATTCTTGGTTCTTTCTGTAAAGTCCCGTAGAAGGGAAATAATAAAATAATAATAAATTATTTTCTTGTTATATTTTTATTATTTCCCTTCTACGTGACTTTACCGAAAGAACCAAGAATACCTCCCGTTGTATTGCCAGAAAGGATAAACACTTCTTATTTATTCATGAGTTGTGATACTGGCAAAAATGTCCCATAGACATCATTGCTCAAGCCGAGCTATTAACACTTCGATACTTGCATTGTGTTTTTTGCTGTTCGCCTTTTGGCGTCCTCTCTGATCTGACGCCGGTGTAGACCTCTCAGTTTCAAAGCCAATGCTACATTATACCAGAGCATGTTTGTCGCCATGTGTTGTCACAAGTATGCGTGCTTAATGCAGACTAAATGCCTTGCGATGTGTCTGTATTTGGTGTTTGAAAGTCTTTGCCCCTCCTGTTGTATTGCCAGAAAGGGATAAAGCCTCTTCTTGTTTTTTCACCACCATGGCCCTTAAACACGGCAGCAAAATCCTGCACAGACTTGTTCAGAGCATGACTCCCACCCCCCCCCCCCCCTTACTTTGCCGAGCAATATATTTCTGACCTGATGTTTGTTCCTGACCCCGTGTGTTGTCTCCGTCAGTCTTCTCAGTGGAATGCCAAGCATGCCGCTTCTCCCCTTGCATCTTTGCGCACTTTTCAACCCGTCGTCCCATTTATCGTCGTTCGTGTGCAAGTTTCTGACACCGATTAATATCGATTTGTGTCATTGTTATGACGCATAATTTTCACCAATTATGAATGACCGTTGGTATAACTATCATTGGCATAAATGATCAAAGTATTTTAAGATTTACAATGCTGGCTGTGAGTATCGTAATGCTGATATGGTGTAGCCTCACACCCCACACCACGTGTTCGGTGAAGCTGCCCGGCAGATTTGTAAACGTGCTATGTCTCTTTCGGCCACCAGGGGGAGCGCGGAGAGCGGGGATCGCGTGGTCCCCAGGTACAGAGGAAAGAATAACCTCCATTCTCTCGGCTTCAGTCTGTCTCTTAGGGGACGTCCATAAATGACGTCACGCACCTAGGGGAGGGCGGGGTCAGACATTTGTGACGATGTGTGACAAGGGGGGGGGGGGGTTGAGAAATGTGACGTCGCATCAAAATGTGCAACTTTAAATAAATATAGACAACACGTTCTACTTAATTAAATATACTTTTTAATAAATGTTTTCTCCTACAATATCAGAGTGCAGCGCCACATTAAATACGCACTACAATTACACTATGAGACCTCCTTTACCAGTGGCAAAATATAGTAGTAGGTTTTTACCCTTTAAACTGGTACAAAAAACTGACACCTTTATTCAAGGCATCATGTTTGCAATAACCACAACACAAGCAGTCAAAATGCTCCGGTGTGGGCCGCGTGTGAACAACGCAACGCTGGCGGTGAATGGGGTTGCGAGTGAGCTAGAGAGAGAGAGAGAGCTTTGCTCTGTTAAGAAGCCTTAAATGTCGATGAGTACCGGCCAATAACAAAGCCTGTGACTACCGCTCATGGCGTTATTGTCGGTGTTGCGTTGTCAGATTTACAATCGGCGTTGTGTTTCTCTCGTTGTGCAGGGTGACACTGGAGCGAAAGGGAGCAAGGGGGAGTCCGTGAGTGGAACCTGTATTGTTTGTATCATTTTTAAATCCTTCGTTTGTCCAGGCAAGCCTTGCCGAGGTCTCGAGACTGGTGCTTAGCAAAGTCCTGCCTGGGATGTTTGGCTAAATCGGTTCTTTCTAATGCTACAAATGTCTGTGATGTTGGAACATGGGTGCCGAGCGATATTCGAAACGTTCGTTGACACCCCATTTTTCAACACTTGCACTGACCGGCATGGTGACATTTAGTCAATCAACCCCCTCACCCCACCATGACCGGCACGGCTGGTGGATTGGCAAAGGGTTGTAATTTATCATGTCAATTTTACCTGTTTAACCAGGTTGAGAATTTAAGAGGCCAGCATAGTCTCATTTGCAAGAGTGACCTGAGTTTGCAAGAATGTATTAGTTCCTATTATACATGTCGGGTTTTTTTGTCCCAAAGTATTTTATTATTAACAAAACGATAAACACGTGATATGAAAGGCGGTTGTGACACCAGCACAACCCACGGATTACGGTGCAATGGAAACCTGCCAAAATCGGCATGTTTAAATAAACCCTACAACCCCCCGGTGCCTTCCTAAGGTCTGATATCCCTGTAGGAGAAGAAGGTAAGGGGGGCTGGTAGTGCCTAAATGCCCTCGTGAATGCTCTTAAGAATCCATGCCCACTGGAGGAGAGGTAGTGAAGGGGTTTCGTGTTTGGTGGTGAGCTTCCTCCCTGCCCCTTAGTTGTGCACTCAAGACGCTCTCTACAGCAGCAATCTTTGACAATGTATTGGCCTATTCCTGCAGTGTTGGGGGAGCGTGACTCTTTCCAGTTGGCTATAATGGTGCATTTTGTCAACATATGTGGTTTTAATGTTGTCTGTTTATTGGGCTCATGTGACGGCTCCTGCAGCAACTACATTCGCCGCAATGTGTTTTGGGTGTTTTTTTGTCGTTTTAAAAAAACGATTCTTGAAAAAAAAAATCGGAACCCAGAATTGCGTCAGAGAAAGATCAGTGAGTCAATGAAATCCACTGACTTGGCTAGAATTGCACCCAGGTTGTCGTCGTACTGCACATTTAACTTCTTTCGCGCCGTACGTAGCCAACCGTGCTCATCGGATGTGCGACTGAGATTGACGTGAAATAAGAATGCTGACTAAAAAATGTAACACTGTGACCCCCCCCCCCCCCTCAACAGTCCGACGGCTGGCAGGCCTTCCAGGAGCTACAGGCCGAGTTTCAGCTGCTGCTGCGTCGCGTAACTCTACTGGAGGAGATGGTGTGGCCAGGTGAGATTAGCTTGTGCCTTTCGGGTGAAATCACCTGTGAGTTCAGGCGAGATCACCACTGAGTTCAGGCGAGATCACCTTGTGAGTTCAGGTGAGGCTACCTGTGAGTTCAGGCGAGATCACCATTAAGTTCAGGTGAGGCTACCTGTGAGTTCAGGCGAGATCACCTGTGAGTTCAGGCGAGATCACCAGTGAGTTCAGGCGAGATCAGTGAGTTCAGGCGAGATCACTAGTGAGTTCAGGCGAGATCAGTGAGTTCAGGTGAGATCAGTGAGTTCAGGCGAGATCACTAGTGAGTTCAGGCGAGATCAGTGAGTTCAGGTGAGATCAGTGAGTTCAGGCGAGATCACCTTGTGAATTCAGGCGAGATCACCTGTGAGTTCAGGTAAGATCACCCTCTAACGATCCTCATCCATGCCCATTTCTCAACTTCACGAATGACCCCTATACCCGACTGCCTCTCATTCACGCTGCACCCATCAGACACCCTCACTCACCATCACACTCCACTTTATTCCGCCTCGCATACCCCTGCAACATCAGCTCCATTCACAGCCCCACCCATTCCATCGCCTTCCTCACTGAACACCGTCGGATTGCATCTTAAAGCGCACCTGGAAGAGGGCGCGAAATCAATGCGAAATAATAGAATTTGATCGCCGATGCATCGCGAGGCGAGAGCGCCTCCTGGTGGCAGCGGGCGAGCGTCGCAGGCTGCGAGTTTCACGAGACGGTGGCCGCGGCGTGCGAGATTGTCGGTGACAGATCACGGGGGAGGCCTTCGTGCATCTCAGCGGGGGGGGGGGGGGTAAAATCCATGAAGTGCCAGCGATGACGACGGGCCCCTGGCACAAGATTCCCCGAGCGCCAGTCCTCACAATCGTGCACGCTGGCGGTCGCCAAACGCGTCCCACGATTCTCACGAGGAACTAAGACTCGGAATATGAATTTCGATTTAAAGCTTTCGTGACTGCAGGGATTCATCTTCTTGGTTTTTTGGGTAAAGTCACGTAGAATGGAAATAATAAAATAATAAAAGAAAACATAATAAGATCATTCTCACGACGGCTGCTTGCGTTGTGGCCGAAACGTCGTGAGAATTATCTTATTATGTTTTATTTTATTATTTTATTATTTCCATTCTACGTGACTTTACCGAAAGAACCAAGAAGATGAATATAAATATGCATTCGTACTGGAGGAATCCGAGGAGCTGCGAAGATCGTTTTCACAGATGTCCAACTCTCTGGGTCACGTGGGACACGCGAGCGCTGTACACACGTGCACGCACGACATCTCTCAAGCTGAATCGGGGCTACCCTCTTACGTGCACGTGGGGCACGTTTAGTAACCATCGGGCGCGCGCGGTGTGCGCCGATTTAATTCGTATCTGAACGGCGGCGGTCGTGCATGCAGGAGAGAATACCCGTGAGCGATGACCACACTGGATTGTTGGGAAAACCTTCATCGAGCAGAAGGAAGGTGGGTACGGTGGCATCTATGGCATTGCCTGCAAATGACCTTTTGACCTTGCCAATCTTCCTTCTTGCCCCCCCCCACCGCCACCGGGACATCCAGAGCCACTCCCGGCCGGCGAGGCAGAAGGTGGAGTCGACGCTGGTCGTCTCCTGGAGCTCAGGAGGAGGAGAGTGGCTCCACGCACGCCCGGACAAGCGACCTCGGTGGCCTGAACCGCGCGTCGCGACCAAACACCAAAAAAAAAACTGGAAAGGCCACGGCAGGCCCGGTACTGGAGCTTGCGCTACGGGTTAGGGTTGCCACCTGTCCTGGTTTTCCCAGGATTATCTTCATTTGTGGAGGTAGCTGCTGTCCTTGGCAAATATGTAAACCTTCCCGGGATATCAAAAGTCTCAGTTCCGTAGTTACAGTACGAATATTAATAATAGTGGTACACAGCGCAAGGCAATGCATTTACATGTGGTTCTCCCCTCTCGCGGTATTGTGAGATATTCTTCTCATTCCCATGAAACATCCCGGTTTTTTTGGACCTTAGCTATGGGGCAGGGGTGGTGTGAAGGGGGGGGGGGGGTTGGGGAGTGGTAGGAAGGTGAAATTGACAGCTGTATGTTCTTAGCAGAGGGTGGTGGGGGGGGGATGTACACCACATCCAGTGTCCCTTTCACTATGGCTCTGGCTACTACTACGAGTCACGTGCCACCCTACTGCACGCGACCAGCGACTCGGAAAACGATTCGGTGACAAACTTGGCCCATGGCTGTAAAACTCTCCCCACTTGGCTCGAAGCGCTGCCTCTAAACGGGGGAAGAGGCACAGAGTAAGGGGGCAATGCTGCTCTTTAGTCGAGAGGCAGAAACCCGATTGAATAAATATTTGATGGGTGGGCGGGGGGGGCACTAGGTTTTCAGTTAAGGGTAGGAACAAGCAGACCAAGCAGAAGGTTGATAATAGTGTCTGTCTTCTGTCAACCCCTTCCGTATTGCCACCAACAAGTGCCAGCTGGATGAAGTGTGTGCAGTGACTCCGCTACTTACGAACTTTCAGAGACACGGACAAACTTTTCCAATCTTGATTTGATCTTGATTTGAAACTTGTCCAATTGCCTGTTCGGACTGAAAGTCGTAAGTTCAACCGCCGCGCAATAGATGGCGGTGATTGCATCTGTATCTACAGAACATGAAGAGCCAGTGGCATCAACATCTACGGGACATTATGCAACTTTTAGAGTACACGCCGTAGCAACACGTTTGGAATAAACAGGGGTAAAGTTGGGACTTTCGAACAAATCGACTTACGAACAGAACTCTGTAACCTAACTCGTTCGTAAGTAGAGGAGTTCCTGTAAATGCTTTGTCCACGGCCTTCAAAGGCGTTCGCCAACAGCACTTGCCCTATAGTCTGTTAAGGCTGTATGGGGGATGTTTTTTTGTCTTGTATCTCCTGCTCATTTCTCTCTTGATGGTCCTTCGCCAGTAGTGGAAATTCCACATTCCTATGGCAAGGGCCGGTCTGTCCACAGCATAACCCTAATACTAAGCCGGTCTTGCCTCGCCTTGCAGAGATAATACGGTTAAGGGCAGAAATGCCAAATGCGTGTAGTGACCCCGCCATTATGTCCCCATAACATCCCAGATCATCTCCACTGCCATTCCCTGACCAGCGGTGGAAATTCCACGTTTCCATGGCAGGGGTCAGTCTCTCCATAGGACGGTCACTTGTTCACATCCCACAAAGCGGTATCTATTTTATCACCCCCTAGATAGGTCGTCCACAAGATGTCGCCGTGGCAGTGATGATGGTCGACGCTCGTGTTGGCGACACGGTTAACAGAGCAACGTCGCGTATCTGATCCTCTTATCCATCCTGTCCAATTAACCGCCCACGCCGAGTGGAGGATTTCATTTTTATATCAGCGTGGTGTCACTGACATGTTTCGATCTTGTTCGTGTCTAGTTCCCGTCCTCTCTTCGTGTTCAGACGATGAAACCGAATGAGATCTCTCCACCCCTCCCCCCTCCCTGTCTCACGCCAGCTTCACGGCCTCCTCCACCCTTGTGTCGCACTTTTATTTTGTTCTGAATTCTTATTTAATTTCCGTCAATTCAGCGCACCGTTGCTCTCCCTCCGTTGCTTTACATATCGGGCGCCGCGGTGGCTAGGAGATGTTAACTCCGTCGCCGGGTATGCAGGAGGTCGTGTGTTCGACCCCCGACCCTGACGCCTGCTGCTGTAATTTTGCAGTTTTCATGTTTCTCTCGCCGTGGTCGCGTGGATTTTTACTCCAGGGCTTCCCTTCACGTTTCGAGACGTACCTTTTTGGAGTATATGGCTGCTGTACATTTACGCATCGTAATCCACTTCATTTAGCTTTCATTTTTGGCCAGGATGCTTCTGAAACAGAGCTATATATATCAGTGGGCCTTACCCGGTAAAATAAAAAATTGTTCAGTTTTTAGCTCCATGCGTATACGTGTGCGCGTGCTAGTGTGAGTGATATGTAGCGGTTAGCACGCTGCGCTACGAACCCGGTGACCCGAGTTCGATTCCCGTTCACGGCCAACACCAGTGACGATTATTTGAACCAGTCCTGGGCCTTTTCTAGGTCGATTCAGCCTGAAATGAGTACCTGGTGCGGGGTGTAAACATCGCAACTCAGAAGACAAAGGCGGTCGGGCGTGGTGCTGGCCACCCACCCCCTCGTGTACCGTTCCGGCCTTCATAGATACTCGCTAACAGCACTTGCCCCAACAGTCCGTTAAGGCTACGTGGGGGGGGGGGGGGGTCTTTGTCTTTGTAGTGTAACGCCAAGTTGCGGTATTCTTTCCAGATCCATTCCAAACCACCGGATTCGTCTCTCTCTTGGATCAGTGTCACCCCATGCCCCAGTCGTTCTCTCATTGCGCCGCACCTCATTGCTCCTGAAGTCTAGAAACCTCTCCTCTGTATTCTCAGTGAGCAGTCGCTAATTTTTCGTTCATCGGATTGTCTCATGCTCCAACATTCGGCGCCCAACGTATAGGTTCATATACACCTTGGCTTTTGTTGCCGCGTAAATATATTCCAGTTGACTTTATATCTTGCTGAGATTTTGGTAAGGTAAGACGTTCACAAATCAATCTCGCGCTTGTTCAGTCACTCCTAAAGCACAGTCGAGCGTCTCCCCGTGTTTAAAGACGTGGAGGGGAACAACCTTCATTCTCTCTTTGATGTTCACTATCTTTCTATACCTCAAGTCCCCGAGCAAAGTCGACGTTGTGCCGTATAGCAAGTGGGAAGTGAATTTCATGTGCATCAAGCAGTATAGGGACGTGTGTTTTTTGATAAATTCAATTTCTTGGTGCTCATAATAATTTTTTGTACAATAATATTTTTACACGTTGATTTTTTTTCAATGTTTGTTTTAACTTGAAGCTACGGAGCTGCGCATTTATTTAAATTTGAATGCCGCTTCGTGCACACGACATCGGCGTTAAACGAAAATGCAACAGCAACAACAACAACGACTTCCTTTCAAAGCATTTACGCATTCATCCCGTCTTGTAACGATGATGTTACCAAACTCTCGTACAAAATTGTGTTGCTGATAGGGACTTGCCCTATTACCAACTGGCCTTATTGATAAAAGGGCTTGCCCTAATACCAACTGTACTTATTGATAAAAGGGCTTGCCCTATTACAAACTGGCCTTATTGATAAAAGGACTTGCCCTATTACAAAATGGCCTTATTGATAAAAGGCCTTGCCCTATTACAAACTTACCTCATTGATAAAAGGGCTTGCCAAAAAATTGCAGACTCCATCCAGTACCAAAGGACGCTCGGTGCGTTTTGGAGGTATTTATTGATATTTATTGTTATAAATACCTCCAAAGGCAAACGCGTGTTGAAAAGTGCTACATGATCCATGCTTATGCATAATTTTCCCTAAATAGTTTAAATGTAATTACCGAAATAACATCGATCCACGGTAATCTGACAGCAGTTCAAGTATTTATAAATTTCGATTTAAAGCTTTCGTGACTGCAGGGATTAATCTTCTTGGTTCTTTCGGTAAAGTCACGTAGAAGGGAAGTAATAAAATAATAAAAATAAAACATAATAAAATAATTCTCACGACGTTTCGGCTACAATGCAAGCAGCCGTCTTCAGGTGAAGAATGAAACACTGCCAAGCTTGGAGCGTATATATAAGCTGGGTTGGAGGTGGAAGAAGAGCGCCTTGACAAAATAATTTGCATATCAACAGGAATTTAGCATATTTATGGGAAATGCGTAGGTATGTTCCTGTAAATATCAAACTGGACTTTTGTGGTGGCCCAGTGGCACAGAGGTCAGAGACGGACCAGCCAGTATCGCTGAGAACCTGGGTTCGAGTCCGTGTTTCAGCCACCCGTGATTCAATCTGGTTCCGATGTGTAGAGAGTGCATGTACACACGCACAATAAATAGCGTTCCACGCGCGTGCCACCCTCCTACCAACATTGAATGTGATCAGAGTCAGAATATTTAGTTATACTGGAGGAATCCAAGGAGCTTTAAAGCTCTGTTTTATAGATGTTCAGTAGGGGCAGGTCAAACAGTTTCAACAACAAACAATAAAAAAAATAGGATAGGAGTGCACAGTACAAGAAAGATAAACAAATCACTTTAATAAATATTCAAATAAAACTAAACAATACTCTGTGGTGCTTTCGGTAAAGTCATATAGGTATAAAAAATAATAGATCACGACGTTTCGATCGCAACACAAGCAACCGTCACCAGGTGTGAAACAAACACACGGCAGGAGGACTGCTGACGGTCAGCTGATGGTCGAAACGTCGTGATCTATTTTTATTTTTTTATACCCACGTGACTTTACCGAAAGAACCAAAGAGTATGGATTCCTGCCGTCACGAACGTTTCTAATCAAGATTGAAACTTAACAATGTTTATCTTACCAGGTAAAACCCACTCAACTATTGACTTCTTTTTCAGAAGCGACCTTGGCCACGAATGATCGCTCGGCAAAGTAGCTTATCACGTGGTAATGTTTTGCAGCAAGATTTGAAAGAGTATCCCTGTATAATTTTTTACAATCATGAAAACTGGCGTGGGACTGCATTGCTGTGTCGATCTCAAAATAACCGCTGGTTGTTTGTTGTTGTTGTACTTGCATTTTCCTTTAAGGTCATAATTTCTTGTTCAATTACGACTCGTTTGTGAGCTCTGTGATTATTGTTGCTGTTATTGTAGACTTTGAATTAAAGATTTGTTTTTTGGGTTTTTTTTGCTTTTTCTAATCAATTACAATGACTCCCACTGGAATTTTTCACCGGTTTTCGTGAGTTTGATTTCACATGTTAAAAAAACAAGCACATGCTACATCAGTGGTGGAATGGTAAACGCAAAGGACTTGCAATCCAGAGGTGGCTGGTTCGATTTTAATCTCTCGGCGCAGCGGCTGAAAAAAAAATGGGGCAATTTTTTAAAATTCCCCTCCACCCAGAGGTCGCAACCGGGTACCCGATACCCGTACCCTACCCGATACCCGGCTACCCGTACCCGGCCGGGTACGGGTATGGGTAGCCGTTTGCGACCCTGGTGCGGCCGGGTACGGGTAGGCCGTGAGTCACTGGTGAGTAACCGTTTGTCACTCAATTCGGGTAGGGTATGGGTACGGGTAGAGAACGGGTACCCATTTGCGACCCTGGTGCGGCCGGGTATGGGTACGGGTAAGGAATCAAAACCCGTTTGCGACCTCTGCCTCCACCACCCACCTCTGCCCACCCACCCACTCACCACAGTTAAGTTCGATCGGCAGGTGGTGGGGTAAAATGTGGGCATTCTCACTTGTTCCAAGACGTCTGGCCAGTGTGGGAGAGTAGACCAACTTGCCCTCCACATAGGCTCCCTTGTGGAGTGCTCCCTGTAGTTGAAGCCCTTCCTCCAGCTGTGGCACGAGTAGGCAATTGCAGGGCTGCACCTTCATAATTGTACTTTTATGAATCCACTTTCTCAATCCGGCTCCATGCATTATCGCAGGTTTTCTGTGCAAGTCAGGAACTGGTCAAGTGTCGCTAATACAAAAGATGGTATTGGGAAAATATATATATCGAGATAGAGTGGCATGAAATGGCAGAGATGAGAATGCTGGGATAGATGTCGTGAATCTATAAGGAAAAGGGGTCACTATTATTCCTGAGAAGACAAGGGTGACGAGGCGTTGATGATTTGGGCACGAATTATAAAGAGACAAGGAGCGTGAAATGAGAAGGGCTATGGAGTTGCCATTGGTGCAGGGTAGACGGAGCAGAGAGATAGAGAGAGAGATCGACGGTGAGATGGGAGGACGTGGTGGAATGATATTTGATGAGCGTGGATGTGACACAGAGAAGAGGCAGAGAATCGTAGAAGCTCATGGATAAAGAAGAGCCGAGCGGCCTCAGTCACGGGGTTTGTAGGCTCGAAGATGCAGAAACATAATAAGGGTGAAGATAAAAAAAGTTTACAGAGATGGCTCAGTGGTCAGAGCTTGAAATGTATTCCTGACACGATTTTCTGGCTCGGCGACCTCAAAATAAAAGTCCGGTTGTTGCTCGAATTCAGTGATTTTTCATTGCAAGTCCCGCGGGCCACTGGGGACCCCTGGTGGCCTTTAGCGCGGCCCCTGACATACGTCCCCAGACAATACACAGCACGTGCGAAAACACATCTTGCAGGCGGTGTGGCGGCCCTCACACTGATGTTTTATCGGCGAAAGTGCTCCCCTCCTCCCGCCGACCTCTGGAAATTATTGATGAACACTGCTGTACATCAACATCAGCCACGCGATAAAAGAAGACCACGAACCACCTGGGTTCGAGTCTAGGTTCCAGCCGCCCATGATGACATCGGGTGTTTAAGTGCAGTGAAATGATCGCCTCGGCTCCGTTCACACACAGAACGCAACGTTAAATTTGGTTTTGCACTCAACTCGGCTTTGAGAATTCAATATTTGTCGACATTCTTTCCCCGGGTGGTTCGACATGTCGGGTTGAACCATGCGATGCACACGTCTCTGACAACGGCGCGGGAAAGTTGCGCTTGAGCCCTGGTGGAAATTCTACATTCCTATGGCAGGGCCGACTCATCTCTGCCAGGGGACCAGTTTGTCGATGGCAGGCCGGAAAAAAAAAACCAGGACAAACAATCAAAATCGATCAAAGTGACATTAAGATTGGTGGCAAATTATATGGGGGAGGGGGGGGGGGTAAGCACTTTGCTGGGTGAGTGACCTTGAGCATGAAGGAGGTCATTCATGCCGCACGTAGAAAAATAACGGCGCTAACGAGCACGAGTCAGATTTACAATTAAGCGATTTGACTGAGGGCTTATCAGAGAGGGCTCACTGGGATGTGAGAGCGGTCACTGATGGGGCGTTCGTCAAGGTGGCATAGATTCATTGATTCATATCGATGGTTACGCCTCGCGAGACAACGGTGGAATCGCGCGCTTACCGCTTCTTGTGTCTCCGACTCTATCCCTAAACATCCCTCCTCATGTCTCCCCGAGCATTTCTCTTCCAACACCAACCCAGCCCCCCCCCCCCCCCAACCTTCCATACGTAAACCATAACCCTACACTGACCTCCCTTCCTCCCCGATCTCTCAACACATACCCCCTCAACAACCACACCTGCCCTTCCCCCACACATGGCCCACCCACCCAATTCCTCACCATACCCTCCTCACCTACCCCCCTCCAATTCCACATATGCAGCCCCTCGCTGCAAGCCTACGTCCGACAAAACCTGCCCCCCCTTCCTCTCCCTTCCCTCCACACCTGCCCCCCTCTCTTCACACCTGCCCCCATCCAACACACCTACACCTTCCAACACTTACCCCCCTTCCTCTCCCTTCCCTCCACGCCAATCCCCCTCTCTTCCACACCTGCCCCCCTCCCTACACACCTGCCCCCCTCTCTTCACACCTGCCCCCCACCATACACACCTACACCTTCCAACACTTACCCCCCCCCTTCCTCTCCCTTCCCTCCACGCCAACCCCCCTCTCTCCACACATGCCCCCCTCCCTTCCACACCTGCCCCCCTCTCTCCACACCTGCCCCACTCCCCTACACACCTACGCACCTCTCTCCCACACCAACCCACCCTGCCCTCGCTACCCATTTCATTCACCCCCCCCCCTGCACCCACATCCTCCCCCCCACCCCCGGCCCCCACCCCCAACCCCCCAGGGAGACGAGTGCCCGCGTGCCCATCGCGCATCCGCGCCTCGGTCTCAATCCCTCCTCGCGCCGTCCCCTTGACAACAACAGCAGCAGCAGCGGCGGTGGCGGTGGCGGCGGCGTCAGGGGGCTTCTTAGCAGCGTGGCCGCCATGAGGGGTGGTTCGGGGCTTTGCGAAGGGGCCCATCACCTTGCCTGCTGCCTCCCCGTAGCCGCTCGCACCAAGCGGCCCAGTGGCAACGTCGCTCGGCCACCTCGCGCGTCTAAAAAAAATTAACCCGTAAAAACAAAGTTTTTCACTATAAATCTTTTATATGCGCGGCGGCTAGAGTCCTCTCGTCCTCTGGCTTGAGATGGCTGCCACCTATTGGTCAGATGATTGCCTGCCACCATTAAGCAATTGGTAATTAAATATAATTATTTTTTTCCTAAACAGTGTAAAATTTTGGAAAAATTTTTTCACGAAAATAAATTGTCACGCACAACGAGTCTGTGTGCAAAATGTCAGCTCGATTGGATCACGGGAAGTGGGTTAAAAAACGACCGAAAGATTTGCACGGTCGTAAGCACGCAAGCAAGCAAGCAAGTGAACTTAATATAAAGGATTTTAAAAAATGAAGGCGGGCGACGCACACGTGGGGCCACTTTTTGTCGGTCTAGGGGGAGTCTCCCCTCTCACGCCGCGCGAGTTGTCGGGGCTGCCATTTGACCATACTTCACCACGCTGGTCGATGCGCGTTGACGAAAGCAGCGAGCATGGGAGTGCTGTCCAATGCTACGATTGACTTTGCTGCACAGACCTCTGCCGCACACAACGTAGCATGGGAGTGCTGTCCAATGCTACGATTGACTTTGCTGCACAGACCTCTGCCGCACACAACGTAGCACCCACCAGCAGCAGCAAGCAGCCTGAAGCACCTGTTATGCACGCACGGTGGTCGCCCATCCGAGCGCTGTCCAGCCTCAAGGCCTGCTTAGATTCCGAGATACGACGAGATCGGACGCGTTACGAGAGACTTAGGTCACTGTAATAAAAACAACGAAGCATACTCGCGACCAGGACAAACATTAACGAGTGATTCATATTCCGTCGACTAAATGCTGTTTAATATTCACAGAGCACAATGTATTCCTGGGCGCAGGGGTATTAGCACATTCTAAGAATAATTATATGTAATTGTATTCGTTATTTGGAGACACTTCGTTTGCAGTGGTGCACAAGTGCAATTTTCAAACTAAACACTTTACACGTTCGTCAATAACACCGTGGCTTGAAAAGTTAAATATTTTAGACAATAGGCGACGTTTCGGGCAATGGCCCTTCTTCAGAGCGCATAAATCAGTAGTCTGAAAACGTCGACCATTATCTAATTATATGAAACATATTTGTAAGGCCAGTGTTATTGACGTGTTGAGTATTTATTGTTATTTGTGCTTCTGCACCACTGCCAACGCAGCAACTGCAACAATAAAATGTATACTCTGAGATCACACTTCTATTATACATTTACATAGTTACATACTGTATCAATTTAAACACGAAAGCAAATGCATACCTCGGCCAAGTACTAAGAAAATTTCAACTTTGCCTACTTTACCCGTCGATTCATTATCAAGATTCGGGGTTGCAATTGGATCTGAGGACCGATTATTTTCTCGAATATTGTGATGATCACTATGAGATCTCTTTTACCAGTGGCAAAATATAGTAGTAGGTTTTTACCCTTTTAAACTGGTACAAAACTGACACCTTTATTCAAGGCATCATGTTTGCAATAACCACAACACAAGTAGTCAAAAAAGCAAACATATCATTATCAGAGTTGCTTCTTTTTGTTTGCTTTTTTGACTACTTGTGTTGTGGTTATTGCAAACATGATGCCTTGAATAAAGGTGTGAGTTTTGTACCAGTTTAAAAGGGTAAAAACCTATTACTATTGTGATGATCGTAGCGCCTCCAGTGGCTGCAAAGGTCACGCGTGAATCACTTACAGTACAGGACGTGGTACAACATGAAAAAAAATCGAAAATAATTGATACCCATGCATACGATTCATT